TGACACTTACTAGCTGTGTGACCCTGAGCAAGTCACTTAACCCCGACTGCCTAAAGCAAACCAAAAAAATGACTATTATAATAGTCTCCAAATGGTTCCCCTACCGTGTCTTTCCCTCCTAATCCATCCTTCTCACAACTGAAAAACTAATTTTCCTAAAGTGTAAATCTGACCACGCTTTTTTGTATCCTCAGCACATAACACAGTACCTGGATCACATAGTGATCACTCAATAAACGGGTATAAATGGGTGTCTCTTCAGTAGTTCCCTATCACCTCCAGAATCAAATACAGTGATCTTATTTGGCATTTAAAACCCCTTCACAACTTGACTCCACCCTACTATTACAGCCTTGGGTGACAGCAGTCCCCTCCAGGCACATTGCAATCTAGCCAAACTGACATTTTTTGCAGTTCCTTACATACAGTTATCAGCTGCATAGGCACACTCAGTCTCCTTTGCCTAGAATTCACTCAGTCTTCACCTCCATCTTTCAGAATCCTTAATTAACTTTGAAGTTTAGCTCAAGTACCACCTTCCACCTGAGGGCTTTCCTGAGCTCCTCAGGGGCAGGTGCACTTTGTTTCTCTTTTGTATACGCATACCTAGATAAGTACTGGTCTTTCCACGCTAGACTGAAAGCTCCTGGAGGGAAGAGATTTTTTTCATTTTGTTACAGTATCCTTAGTGACTAGCAGAGTACCAGGCACATAGTAGGTATTTACTTGATGACTGATGGACAATACTTGGCTTATCCTTCTTGCCAGGTTTCACCATCCAAGATATTTTACCACAGAACCAGCTAAAAGCAGTATGAAGAGACAGCGGGATTCTCAAGTAAGGTTAGGAGTTACCACTAGTTTGGTGAGGGAATGAGGAAAGAAAGAGGAGGAAAAAAAATAAGTTGTCCTTGGTCTAAGAAAACTGAATTTCCCCTTCTCCCCCTCATAGTAAGATTGTGGGAAGCAGCGAAAGAAAAAGACAAGATCCTGAGAATAGTCAGATGACAGCTGTAATTGGCTCCTGGTTCCCTCTTTTCTCTAGCACTTGAGCCTTTATACTGGCTCACTGGCTGGGCAAAATATCCTACTAAAACATCAGACCCAACTCTTTTCTTCCTCACTCCCTACAACAAAATAGTTCTCTTCTGCCCTCTCACCTCCAAACTTCAAAACTACCATTCCTTCAGTATGGCACTGCTTAGCCCTCCAATTATTGATCTAAATCAGTCTCTTAACTGGTGAGATTTCAAGCAGTGTTAGGTTAAGGTTTTTTGTTATATTTTGTATCTTGTATTGCAGTTAGGAAGTTGCTATATAGATTGTACATTAAGCATCAAAGAACTACAAAGAGAACTCCCTTTCCCTTATTTTCCCTTCCCTTACTCTTTCCTTTGCTGAAAAGAAAGCACTTAGGGATGACATTTTTTTCCCTTTTTCTACTACCTTGCTCCATGGCTACTCTTACAGGACAGTTGGTTAGATGTTATGCCTTAGGAAAAAGAAATCCCTGGGAAAAGAAGAGGATCCAGGGATCTTCAGAAGAAGATTCAAACCAATTCCTTCACCCAATCCCCATCTTCCATCAGGTGACTCCGAGAAATCCAAAGATCTAGAATTAGAAGGGACCTTCCCAACTCCCTCATTTTAAAGATGAGGAAACTATGACCAAGTGGTAGAAGGATTACTAATTACAACAATTTACATGAATTGTTTGCAATTTAAGCTTAATTACAACACAACACTGTTACAACAAATTAAACACATCAGAATTGATGAGGATGGGATCTAGACCCCAAAAAGGAAAAACCCAGGACTTTCCCACAAGGCCAAATGTCTGGCGTTCACCTGAGGATATAATCCCATCAACTGGTCTTTCATTGTGGCTACCCCCAATCTCTGTTACCCTTAATTTACCCTGGCTCTCCATAATAGTCTCATCTCCCTATGGCCCCCATCCACTTTCCACCCTTAATCCTAGCTAGGCTCCATTCTCCCTTGGCCATGTGGTCCACCGGGTCTCTACCCCCCAGACTATTTGGCCACTCCTAGATTTCTCCCACAGTCTTTCTGTTTATAAGGTCCATCTTGTCTCCATTAAGGTGCTCAGATTCTTACAATCTAGCCAATAGCTCACTAACATTCAGACTTCTTAAGAGTCTGCCCAATATGACTGATGTTCTAATAAACCTTGTCTTTGGCTGAAAGGAGACTTGGGTCAAATTCTTTCAGACAGGATCAATGTGTTGTGATTTTGGGGTCCCAGCACCCTGAACCTCAACAAGAATAACTTTTGTTACTAATTTTGTTGAGATTACATTACTAAATTCACTTTCCTGAACACAGACTCAGGTTTCCCTTCCACAAAAGTTTAAAAACAAAATCAAATGAAATATCTTTCATACTGACATGCAAAAAATAATAATAATGAGTTAACCCAACGCAGAAAATATACAAGTGAACACTCTATTCTTTTTCTAATGGTTACAGGATAGTTGTAGGTCCTACGCCAGCCCCATTTCTATTCAACTCTCAATTAGCTAGGACTGAGGGTAAAGGCAGTTTTATGTGGTTTTGTAAAAAGTCAGCTCAAGATTAAGGCAATATAAACATCAAAGCTAGTGAAGGTGACAAGATGTAATAAGGAGATCCTGATCAGAGGGAAAGTACACTGCTACAATCTCAAACAGCTACCAGAGTGATCTCAAAGACCAAGAGATTAATAATTGGTAAATAAATCCTAAGTCTACTCATCAAACAATGTTTTCAGAGACAGCATAAGAGGTGGGAGCTGGCCTGAATACAAGTCTCACTTTTGACACCTACTAGCTGTGTGACCCTGGGCAAGTCACTTAAACTGTCAATGTTCTAAGAAAATTGATCTTGATGAGTTGTCAGCCTCAATAGAGGGAGTTTCTTCATCTGTGAGTTCCCAATACAGATGAAATCAGAGGTCCAGTCCCTATTCTCATCAACTTTAATGATAGTTGCTCAAGGTCAAAATCAGTTGTTTCAAACAGAGAAGTGCATTTTTACATACAGACAACTGATATAAATGATGGTTAAATTCTCAGGTCAACCCAAAGAAGTCTATTCATAATGTAAAAAAGGTGTTGTTCTAGTGTGTGTTTGTGGGTGGGTGGGTGGGTGTGCTCAAGTATACAAACACACACACACACACACACACACACACACACAAACACACAGAGTACTATAGTAATATAGAACCTAAGCACCATAAGCAACAATGTTTCTATGAGAAAATACATTTACTGTTTCAGTTGCAGATATCAGAAAAGTATTTTTGGTCCCTTCACCTCCCAAAGACCAGAAAATCTCCCTATTTCACTACCCCAGTGACTCCTCCACGGTTTAGATAAGGGCAAAGCTACATAAGAGTGAAGTGTAGAGAGACAGTCTATGGAAGCTACTTCTTTCTCTTCTCCCTTGCCACCTCCAATGCACCCACCCTCTGCAGCCCCTACTCCTGACATCTACAAAGTATGAAGCAGAGACCTAGCCTGGGGGTGTCTCAGATTCCATAAACTTAAACAGGCATGGGAAAAAGAGTTATGAGAAGGGAGTTATGGCCTGTGAGTAAAAACTGGAGAGTTGAGGTATTCCCAGTATGACACAGTGACAGTTCCTGGCATGTAGTAGGGCAGTAGGAATGCTCAATAAATGTTGACTGAGTGAATTGCTTATCTGTATTTCTTGGTAACGAGAGGACTGGAAAAGAGCAAGGGCATATAGTAAATGAGAGTAATTTTTTTTAAAGTATCTATAAGACTTGGTTTTTGTAAAGGAGAGTGACTGTCCTGTCCCAATCAGGGCAGCAGCAATAATTTTTATATGCATAATTTGGGACCTGTCTATATGCCTTGCTACATCCATTGTCACACACACAACTGCAAAACTGAGAAAGAAAGGGGAAAAAACTCAAGAGAAAACTCCTCTATTTGACAAACACTTAAAAGCACTTAGATTCTCTGCTTTTATTACCTTAACTGGATAAATAGAAATGACTGCCTGATTTAGGGTATTCCCATATATGTAGTACTTCACCATGAAACAATTCAGTGATTAATTTCCATCCGGCTCAATCTATGACGGAATAAAACGTTCCTAAAAGTTGGCAGATTGTCTCCACTTTACACATTCATTTACAACATTAATGTTAATTCTTTACATCTTGTCACCTGAACTCACTGCACTATATTTTAAATTTTTTTAAAAAGCTGGAATTTAGAACGGTCATAACCTGTGATAACAAATCCAAAAAGTGAGGGTATTCTCATAAAATACCTCATAAAGATACTTATCACCCTATACCTACCCACAACAGATAACAGCAGACCAGGATATCGATTAAGGAAACAAGGGTGCCTATCTTAACTCATGGTTTTTGTTTTTTAAAGAGGATACCTCTTTCAGAGGTTGCCTTATTTATTGCCACATCATCCTAAACTAAAAGTTCTCCTTTGAAGACAGGAAGAAGCAGACATCCTTTTGCACCCCCTTCCCGCTTCAAAGCTGGGTAAACAAAGGCACATGGCAAGTGACGGCCCGCCTGATCAACTACAGGGAGCTTGCAAGGGCTCAGCTCACTCTCGCCTTCAGCAGCCCCCGGGAGGGACAGCGGGAAACACCCCCCACGGCCCCGCACAGGCCACCTGAGGGAAGCCTGCAGACGCTGGACTTTCCCCTGGCCAATCTCGCCTGCTCCGACCGTGCCCACCGACGCACTGAGCTCGAGAGTCTTGGCTTCCCTCCCCGTGGCCCGCCCGACGGGGCTGTGTACCGTGCCGAAGGGACGACTCCGAGCGGCGTGGCACCCCGGCGCGCGTGGAAGGGCCGCGCGGGCCGGGGACTGAGAGCGTCAGTGCTCGCAACTCACCTGCAGCGGGGCGCGCCCGAGTCCTGCCCAGCGGGGTCGTGCCCTGCGGTGACCACCCTCGCCCCACTGCCCCTGCCCCTCTGCCGAGCCGCGCCCGCGTCACCTGGGCCAGGGTCCTTGCGCTCCGCCGGGCTGTCTGCTCCTGGGCCCGTGCCTCCCCTGAGCCGCGAGCCGGCGCCGAGATCCGAGCCGCCGCCGCCGGGAGGAGCCCGAAGCGCTGTGGCCGCTGCGCCACGACTGCGGGTTCGGGTTACCGCAGAGCGACTCCTTAAAGGGGCCGCCCCCGCCCCCGCCCCCGCCGCCGCCGCTCCCGAGCCCCTGGGCGGTCGCCAGCCCCCGGACAGCTCCCCTCCCCCTAGGAGCCCGGCACAATGGGGCCCCCTCGCGTGCGTCCGACCAGCAGCCGGGCCGGGCCGGGGTGGAGCGGGGCGGGGAAGGCACCCCCACTGCTCCGCCCGGCCCGGCCCAGAAAGGGCAAGGGCAGAGGCGGCACGCTCCTGGCCACGTGGCGAGCCCAGGACCGCCCTGAGTCCGGGACACGTGGGGGCCTGAAAACTGGTTTGGAGGGTTCCTGGGCGAGGATGCTCTGCCACCGAGTTTGGGAGGTGAGATGCCCCAAGGTGCATTATCATAGCGTGGCAAATGGAGAGAGAGTTGATGTATACGTGTGCATACACACATATTTACACAGTACACATATATACACATATACATACACATTATATATACACATATATTATCTATAAACCTATATGTATATACACACTCATGTCTACACATGTGTGCATATATTGCATGCATATATTATATATACGTGTATTTTATACACACCCATATATTTACCTACATATACGTTTTTGTTTTTCGGTGGTTTCAAGTCCTGTCAACTCTTCTGACCCCAATTAGGATTTTCTTGGCAAAGATACTGAAGTGGTTTGCCATTTCCTTCTCCACCTCATTTTTACAGATGAGGAACTGAGGCAAACAGGGTTAAGCCCAAGGTCACACAGCAAGTAAATGTCTGAGACCAGATTTGAACTCAGGAAGATGAGTCTTCCTAACTTCAGATCCAGAATTCTATCCACTATCCACACATATATACATATGTGCACATATATTTATATGCATCTAATTATACCTATTTTTACATATACTGTATGAATGTGCATTGTGCATATGCGTACATATATGTATAGATATGTTATGTACACACATGTGTGTCTACACAATCAGTGCATAACATGTTATATGTGTGTGCACATGTGTATGGATTGCTATACATACTTGTATATTATAGATTGTGGATATATGTCCATGTATATACATATGCCTATATGTACATATATCTTCCATACATATATGTGTATAAGCATGTATGAGGATTTCTATTCCATATGTTAAATAAAGAATACTTTATAAGAATACATATAACATGTAACTATTTCACATGTTTGTGACCAATATTTCCCTAGATTCCCATTCCCATGCAAAGGATTTATAAGGAGGCATTTCTTACTCTCCCCTGGCCCTAGTGAGGTGATCACATAATTTACAAGTGTTTACCCTTCTTTAGCACAGTCAGTTCAAATACTTCACATCCTTGGCAAGTAGATTCTGGTTTCACATTGCTGACTTACATGTGGACACATACAAATACACAGAGTTGACAATCAGATATTTGTCTAAGTAAATTTATCGGCCACTTTCTTGAAACCTTCACTAATCTGACCCCCCCCCCAGCAGCTAAAAGTTTTCCTTCAATTCTGATTTTCCTAGCATACTTGGGGCTTTTCTTTGTCAAACCACCCATACTTACTCATTATTTGTTAACCTCTCATTCCCCCAAAGGTGAATGTTACTTCCTGGAGGGCAGAGTCAATGTCATCTGATATTTGTATCTCCAACACCAAACACAGTGACTTGCACAAATTAGGAACCTAGTAAATTCATGTTCATTGGTCAGAGATGAGATAAATAAGCATGATTTGTAAATCATGTTACAGAATTAAAAGCCAACAAGCTGTGTCTCAGCATATTACAATCATATATGATTTCTTGAAAAACACAATGATCTTTGTTCAAAGATTTCATTCTTTAAAAAAAAAATTATTATTTATTTTTAACATTCTTTTAAAGTTTTGAGTTCCAAATTCTCTCCCTCCCTCCCATGCTTCCCTCACCACCAAGAAGGCAAGCAAATGATATCAATTATACATGTAAAATCATGCAAAACCTATTTCCATTTTAGGCATATAGCAAAAAGAAAAAAGAAAAGAGAGAAATTGAGAAAATGATACTTGTATTCAGAGTTCACCAGTTCTCTCTGGAGGTAGATAGCATTTTTTTCATTAAGAAATGATGGAATGATATTATTGGAATTGTCTTAGATCCTTCAATTGATCAGAGTGGCTAAGGGTTTCTCAGTTGATCAGAATTACAACATCACTGTGCAAAATGATCTCCTGGTTCTTCTCACTTCACTTTTCATCAACTCATAAGGGTCTTGTCATCTTTTTTTTTTCTGAAACCACCCCCCTCATCATTTCTTATGGTGCAATAGTACTATAAATCATAATGTATAAATATATATATATATATATAATATAAATAACATAAATCACCATCATATGCCACACCTTGTTCAGTCATTCCCCACTTGATGAGCATCCCCTCAATCTCCAATTTTTTGCCACCACATAAAGAACGGCTGTAAATATTTTTTAACATATAGGTCATTTTTCTTTTATCTCTTTGGGGCATAGACTTGGCAGTGGTATTGCTGTGTCAAAGGTCATGCACAGTTTGATGGCTCTATGGGCATAGTTCCAAATTGTTCTCCAGAATGGTTGAACCAGTTTACAACTCCACCGAGGGTTTATTAATGTATCTATTTTCCCTTATCCCCTCCAGCATTTGTCATTTCTAATAGGTATGAAGTGGTATTTTAATTTGTTTTAATTTGCATTACTCTAATAGTGATTTAGAGCGGGGGGTTTTTTCCACATGACTATAGATAGCTTTGATTTCTTCTTCTGAAAATTGCCTGGGGAAATGGTTCTTATTTTTATAAATTTGACTCAGTTCCTTATATATTTAAGAAATGTGGCCTTTATCAGAGAATTAGCTGTAAATATTTTTTATATTGCTTTATTGTCTATGATACTTTTTAGCAAAATGTAGTTTCTCTGATTATCTCTTTTAATTAGCCCTTTTTTTGTTTTGCTTTGTCTGAGAGTATGATTGCCACTCTTGCTTTTTTACTTAAGCAAAAGCATAATAGATTCTGCTCCAGCCCTTTACTTTAACTGTGTGTGTATGTGTTTGTTTCAAATGTGTCTTTTGTAAACAACATATGATTAGATTTTAGTCTCTAACCCATTCTACTATTCATTTTATGGGTGAGCTTATCCTATTCATATTTACAATTATGATTATTATGTATTTCCCTCCATCATATTTTCTTCTATTTATCCTATTCTCTCTCTCTTTTTATCCTGTTCCTCCTCAAAAGTCTGTTTTGCTTCTGTTTACTGCTTCCCTCAATCCACCCTACCTTTTGTCACACATACATCCACATTGCTTATCCCCTTCCCCCCCTATTTCCCTATACCCAACTGAGTGTGTATGTATAGTCTTCCCTCTTTGAACAAATTTCAACAAGAGTGAGATTCAAGCATTGCCCACCACCCTACCATTTTCACCTCTGTAAAAGTTCTTCTTTGTAATGCCTCTTTCATGTGAGAAAATTTTCTCCATTCTACCTCTCCCTTCCCCCTTCTTCCAGTGCATCTCTCTCACCCCTACTTTTTAAAAATCATTCCAATATAATCAATTCACATTCATGCCCTCTGTCTACTTAGGCTCCTTCTAACTGTCCTAACAATGATAAAGCTCTTAGAGTTACATGTATCATCTTCCTTTATAGGAATGTAAACAGTTTAATTTTATTGAATCCTTTATAATTACTCTTTCGTGTTTACTATTTTTATGCTTGTCTTGAGTCCTATGTTTGACTGTCACCTTTTCTATTGAGCTCTAGTCTTTTCATCAGGAATGTTTGAAAGTCCTCTATTCCATTAAATATTAATTTTTTCCCCTGAAGGATTACATTCAGTTTTGCTGAGCAGGTTATTCTTGGTTATAATCCTAGCTCCTTTGCCTTCTGGAATATCATATTCCAAGCCTTCTGCTCTTTTAACATGGAAACTGCTAAATACTGTGTGATCTGGACTGTGGCTCCACCATATTTGAATTGTTTCTTTCTGGACGCTTGCAACATTTTCACCTTGACCTGGGAACTCTGGAATTTGGCTATAATATTCCTGAGAGTTTTCATTTTGGGATCTCTTTCAGAAGGTGATCAACAGATTCTTTCAGTTTCTATTTTGCCTTCTGGAACTAAGATATCAGGGCAGTTTTTCTATATAATTTCTTTACAAATGATATCTAGGCTCCTTTTTTGATCATGACTCCAATAATTCTTAGGTTATCTATCTATTTTTCAGGTCAGTTGTTTTTCTGATGAGATATTTCACATTTTCTTCTATTTTTCTTTCATTCTTTTGACTTTGTTTTGTTGTTTCTTGATGTCTCATGGAGTAATTGGCTTCCACTTCCCCAATTCTAATTTTTAAGGAAACATTTTCTTGAGTGAGCTTTTGTACCTCTTTTTCCATTTAGCCAATTCTGCTTTTTAAGGAGTTTTTTTCCTTCAGTGAATTGTCATACCTCCTTTTTCATTTGGCCTACTCTGTTTTTTAAGGTGTCATTTTCTTCAGTACTTTTGTGCCTCTTTTACCAAGCTGTTAATTCTTTTTTCCATAATTTTCTTGCATTACTCTGATTTCTTTTTCCAAGTTTTCCTCTGCCACTTTCATCTCTTTCTTTAACTCTTCCAAGAATTCTTGTTGGATTTGAGTCCAATTAGTATTTTTTCTTTGAGCCTTTGCTTATAGCTATTTTTACAGTGTCATCTTCTTTTGAGTTTATGCTTTGGTTTTTCCTGCCACAATAGTAGCTTTTTATGGTCGTTATTTTTTTCCCTCATTTTTCCAGCCTATTTCTTCACTTTAAACTTTGTATTAAAGTTGGACTCTGCTCATGTGGGGGTAGAAAGATACTGTCCCAAGCTTCAGCTTTCTTTTGCTGTTGTTTCAGAGCTTGTTCTGGGCATCTGCAAGTTTTCATTACTTCCAAACTGATGTAACCCAGAGACAAGCATGGTCACTGCTCTCCTGATCTGCTCTCTGATCTTTACCCAGGAAGAGCCCCATCTCCCCTGC